GTACTAGAAGGCGGGGCTTCATTCACCTTATTGTCCATTACACTTTTCCCTATTCAAAACTATATAGGTGACACATCTTGTGTATTCTATAGTCTTTAGTCATGTTATAAACTTGAAGCGTTGCCATGGGATCTTTAGAATGCAATGGATTATAATCCAATGTAATCTGATCTAATTCAATGGAACGGGCACAAAAAAAAAAAAAAACTCAACTGATGTATATAAAACCGTATTTAATGTATTGTAGTGTATTCAATAATGATGTCAGTTTGACAGCCTTACCGTTAGTTTGGTACTAGGCAATGCTGTAAAAGAGAAAGCCCTGCCCCTACTCAATATTTTGTTTCAATTAGAAGTACATCAACCCACTGAAATAAAAGTATTAGAAACTACGGGACTTTTGTAAACATCCCATCTGTGCACCTTTGTTTTTACAAAAGTTGTTTTGCTTAGTGCTTTGATTTGCAATATTTTTAGGAAACGCTGTCTCTCCTTTTCTAACTTGTTTATGTGTTTGTTCACTCTTCTTATCGTCCATTTGCTCTCCATTGGCCTCCCTCTCTATCCTTTTCAATCAGTGGCTACTTGCTCTTCTGAGCTTGTTGATTTCTTTGTGGCCCAAATGTTCTGTATTTACCCATGCACTCAGTCAGTCGGTATCCACTGAGCTAAAGGTATGCACTCGGTTTAAATGGATGTCCAGAGCTTTCATCCTCACAAGTGCTTTGTCCTCTCTCAGCATTTTTCTCACTCATTTATTCATCCCAGAATCCTTCTCTACAAGACTTTTTATTCAGCAACAAGACCTGACTGTTTTTTGAACTATCAGCGAAGTAAACAGAACAGAAATTATTAAAATTGCATGTGGAATTTTTAGTGTTCTTAGTAAAAAGAGCAAGGACTTAAATCTGCAGACTGAAGCGCAAAAAGAAAACACACATTTAACTTCTTAAAGTAAGAGTATGTAATTTTAGCTTTATAAAAAAAAACAACACGCAATAAATGCAAAGTACCACATTTTAAAAGGTAACAGAACAAAAAAAAGTAAATTAGTTTTCCATTTACTTGCTCCTGTATTGTTTTTGCATGTCATACACTGTTTACTAAAGTATGTGCTCTAAGTCTGTCAACAAATAGGGCTCTTTTTTAATGAACTAGGTGCAAAGTCTAAAGCGCATGGTGCTAAAGCATTAAGGGTGTGTCCCAATCCACTTTTGCTATTTTAAGGACAGAAAATACGCTCTGTGCCTTGGTGCATAGTGTAACAGAGTTGTGCTTATTTTCTTAATATGGGTGTGTTTTGACCATAACGTGCATTAAACCATCAGTCTCATCTCACGTTCCCTTTAAGAAGAGATGAAGGGAACTTCATCTCTGTTACGTTGCGTCATGGCACATTCTCTGTTACGTTGCGCCATGGCACATTTTCTATTTAAATGGCGGACTTCATAAGTGGAAAACTGAACTCTTCACTAGCAAGAAAACAATTAAACAGACCATCTGAAGAGCGAGGATAAAAAAACGAGCCTCCTCCATTTGGCCTTTTTACCTTCTCTTTCTCTTTACTTTTACTCTTTACTTTAGTCCTCTACTTTCATGGAGTAAGGAAAAGGTGGAAGCTCATTCCACTGAAGCCATCCATTAGGCTACATTTTTAATTTCATCTGTTAATTGCAAAGATTTGTTTATAAACTATTTGTAAATTCAGTTCTAATTTCCATCAAACGAATAAATGAACAATAATAATGAAGTGTGATCAAAAAACTGAGTTATATCCAAACACACATCCCATGCTTATGCCCCATATGGTGATGCATACGTCTCTAAATCCCAATTTATGTCCAAATCCAAATTTATTAAAACAAATATGCATATAGTAAATACTGAATGTGAAAATCATGCCATACATGTCTTGCGCATTATTGCGCTGATTGTATGATAGGACCCAAAAAGCCAAACTTAGATTCATATTAGACCACTTAATTTGTTATATAGATAAAACTCTTTATCCAGACAAATATTGTTTACATCCCTGATGCAAATTGTCAAAGTTTATATCACAATATCTTGACACAATAATGTCGTTTCAGCTAATTTTTTTATCCATTTCAGTTTTGCTCTATATGATCAAGAGACAGCTACTTATAGTACTGAACAGCTCACTAAACAGAACATACTGTAGATTTCGGCCTGCTCACATATTTTCTATCACTTACTGGACTACTATTATGAAGTCTACCAGCCATAAACAATGTGAACTCTAAAGGAACATTCCACATTGTAGCCGTGGTATAAATGCGTAGTTGCTTGATTATTTAGTCGGAATGAGAATATACTGTAGTTCCTATCTATGGATAGCACAATGCATGGTCTAACAGGGTTGTGCTTATTCTCTTCATTAACTCTGTGAGAAATGATATGATCAATTAGTCCTGATAGCATATGTTTTTAGGTCAATTTAACTTATTAAACTAAGTTAATCACGTTCTAACCTAATTTTATTAGTAATACAAGCTGTATTATATCAGTTTAACATAATTTAGGTTCAACAGACTCAAAGTTAATTTGATTCAGCTTAAAATTATAAGTTATACAAAGTTTAACTTAATATTTTAGTCAGTTTGATTGATGTAAGTTGAGATGACAAGACAAATTTATTTTATTCAACTGAAAAAATTAAGGCAGCAAGAATAGTTTTTTACAATGTAGCAATATTAGGCTAGAAAACAGCTTCTCCATCTGTCCAGTACATGTTGTAACTACTGAAGTGTCAAGCTTTAAATACATTGAAACTCTTTAAAAAAACTGAGCAAAATGCTTATGGTCTAATCTGATTCAATTATCAATTCTAGGCTAGGCTAAAAGTGCTTATGCTAGACCTGGAGATCAGCTGATACTATTTAAACCTCAGGGAGTTGTAAAATGTACCTTTTTAAATGCTGTTTTTTTTTTTTTTTTTTTATGGACACTCTTAAAGGCTTCTTTTGTGTTCCACATAAATTAATAGCACACAGATTTGGAATGAGATGATAAGCAGTTAAAGTGAGAAAATCTCATTAGTTTAGATTATTTAATAAAGGTTTTGGTCACAGAAATTGTTTTGAAAACAGATTATATAGTTTCCTGTATATTTGCTTTATACTATAGTCTATATTCCATTTTTAAACTGTCCACTTGCTATTATAATCTGTTGATTTCTTTTGTACCGATTTGCTCAACAGAGTTTCCGTGTGCAAATCTTAGTTCAACTGTTAATATGTGAGGTTTGGATGGCATGCAGTATAATCCTCATGGACAGATGAGATGCAGTATGTTGAACCGAGGGTCATAGGGCCACTGATGCATGCCGATCGAGTGTGGAGATTAGGCCAGTGTCCAGTTGTAATTACAATGGTAATTCCACTATCCAGATGGATGCTTTTTGCAAGCGAGTGCATCAAGGACAGTCCACATGTCTCTGAGAGTTGACGGCTTTACAGAGGCTGAGGAAAGCAGCTTACATTAAATGGGGGACTGGTATCATCATTCTATTGCGTCTCCAGCCTTTGACTTCATCGTTAATGCCTGGAGATCATACTTTAATGCTGTTGTTCCCTGCTTTTGACTCTGCCATAATGTTTCAAAACTCACACTTTAATACCACTTGGATGAAGCGGGGAACGTGTCTGCCATGCTCCTCAGCGGGACAGCATCGAGACCCCTGCTGTTTAGATCCAATCCCAGACTCACACACAAAGAGACAGAAACGAATGCAGTGCACAAGGGGGAAATAATGCAGAACTGCCCTGAGATTGTCATTTGATAGAAAGAGGAGTGTGAATGAATCGGAGGGAGATGTTGAGGGATGAAGTTTCAGTGTAATGTCTGTATTCCAGACATGTGTTAAAGGAAAAATTCGCACCATTTTCTCACACTCAAGAAATTCTAAACCTTGATGAATTTATTTCTTCTGTTAAACACAAAACAAACATTGATATCCATAGATAGAAAAAACAACAACTATGGAAGTCAATGGCTATTTTTTCCAAAAAACATCCTTAGCTAACTAAGGTTGCAAGTTCCGTTACAAATATAGTTCGTTGTTTTGGCAAATCCGTTGTTCTAATGAACATTTGCAAACTGCATCGTGAACTTTTTTGCGCTACATCTCTTGAGCTGTAGTTAGAAGCATAGTTCCTAGTTATGTTCTATTCCCCATTATCCCCCTATGTCCTATTCATTTAAACATTCTAACATTTAAACTTCAAATTCAGATTCGTTGTCAAAATAACAGGCGAATGGTCAAAAGGCAGGCAGTAGACAGGGTAAAACAAACAAAACAAAGCAAAGTTCAAAAACATGGAAGGCAGTGCAAGGAAAATGCGTTGTAATGTCACAGAAACAGATGACAAGACTCAGCAATGAGGGTCTCAAAGTGAGCCATTTATGTGTGTTGTAATCAGTCCATGAGCAGCATCAGCTGTGTGAGTCTAATCAATGGAGACATGAAGCAGGTGTGTGTGTTGCATGACTGGATCTTGTAGTACATATATAGGTAGATTTGTAGTCCTCAAAGTGATCTGCATGTTTACCAGCGATCTGCACAGTCTGGATCGCTGGTGGTCTTGACAGCGATCTTCATGTTGACAATTGCAAGCAAAAGTGATGTGATAGTGATCACCAGTGTGCATACTTCATGTTTTGTTAATGTACAGTATGGCTTGCTTGGAACCACACCTGAGGTGGTACTAAAAAAGCTACTAGGTATGGAACACAGTAAAAAAGTCTGCAGCATACAGTACCATGCAGTAGAAAAGCACCAAAATAATAACATCATATATTTTTGGGATGAACTATCCCTTCAAGAGAAAAAAAAACCTCTAAGCATCAGTATGTCAGCACACTATTGAAAATTCTGTTCCCAAAAGTTTCACATTGAACTGAGAGGGGTTTACAGAGTTGGTAGGAACTTTCATGTTGAGACTTGAAAATCTGAATTCTCACTCTACTTCATTTCACAGGTTGGGCTTCCCTATGATGCTTATGACCTGCACAATAGGCATGTGTTACCTGCTCGCAACCCACATCGGACTTCACTGGAACACATAAACTTACCCACCACATGGGGAACCAAAAAGACTTCTGAGTTTGTGTGAGGATGTCAAATCATGTTTGAATTCTGTTCTTCTGGGACGGATACACAAAGAGCTAAACTTCGTAGACCTGGTTCGTCCTGAGAGACTAAGCTTTACATGCAGGAGAGGTACAGAGAAGATAAACCATGGGAACATCTGATCATCTGCTGTATTCCTACACGTGTATCAAACTGCTATGGTGCTACTGTTATATTACAAATGTGGATTTTTTTTTTTTTTGCCAAACCTGTTGGTATTTTCCACAACAACTTAACCAGAATGTATTTTTAATGCAGATATCTGCTTACAATATATTATTTATTGATGCAGAATGTGGATTGAAACATTTTCTTTTCGTTTATTCTTTTGAGGCATTTCTAGAAATGGATCCTCTAGGGGCCATAATTTTATATTGGCCAAATATATAATTTATATAATTCACCTTGCTGAGATTATTAAAATTGGGTAACAAGTACCAATACTTGCTCATAACTAATGGCTTATTACCTGCTTATTAATAAGACATTGCCTGTTTATTAGTATTTATAAAAAACATATTCAACATAATCATATTTCACAACCCTAGTCCTAATACACATTGCCTAATCCTAACTATTACCTAATAACACATTCAGTATTAATCCACACAGTGGCAAAAAATGTTACTATTTTGAAAATTGACCGCGCAGCGCGTGTTAAGAACGGCTGATGGTAGCCATAGCAAGGCAAACAGCAGAGGATCGCCAGCTCAGAAACGCATTTAAATTAATAAAGGAAGAAGCACGCATTGCGTTTTTAACGTGGTTTTGGACGCGATATGTGAACAGCCCCATACAGATTTAACCTGAGAGATACAATACAAGCACTGATCTATAATAAATATGTGATTACAAGCCACAAATAAACACATATTTTGCAAACTACACCAAACGAGGCAACAATTTTAATGAAGCTGACATGTTATGATCCGGAGGATGGAGAAACTGGTCCAATTGAACTGTAAATGTTACTGACAAAGTCACTATCAAAGTCTGACAAAGTCCCATAGTCTCTGCTACTTCTTTAATAGCAAATTGCCTGCGAATCCCGCGTTGCAGCATAGGTTATTGTATAAAAATATCTGAAAAATTACAGGAACAAACACAGCCCTAGGTTAGCTATACTGTGGTGTTGTTGTGAAAAATGAACTTTAACCCCCCGCAGCCAGGGCCGGTGCGTCCACAGAGGGGACCCAGGCAGCCACCTGGGTGGCAGAATAGAGAGAGGGCATCTGCGACATCTCACTTTCCCTTGTGATAATACAGTTATATACCGATAATACTGTGATAATACCCCCCCGCCCCAGTTTTTGCTGTCGTACGCGTAATCCCCGTCTCTCGATTTCACTTTCAGTTTAAGGGCAGCATGATCATCTTTTGCCTAGAGCACCAGTTCAGTTTGCTCCCGCCCTACCCGCAGCCGAATCTCTGTTACTGATCGTCATCTTCGCGTCATGATCAGTCCTGTGATCCCCCGCACCACTGCTAATGTGTGGAGGGAAAGCGCGTGCACATTTTAACGAAACTGGAAGTACATATTTGAAAATGTACCTTATCGACGACGATGCGATCCAACAAAAGATCCGAACCCAACTCGATTCGTTTATTCTACTCTGAGTCAAATATTTCTCTAAAGAATCAATAGTTTTAAACATGCTGCCCTTTTAGATTTAAACCTCAGCTGGATGTTTTCATTCCCTTAGAGTTGTGTTACACACTTCATGGAAGCTTATTTTCAAAAACCCATAATAGGTTTTTTTTTTTAAATGGGATTATTCATGCCTTGCAATGCACCTTATAATAACATTTATGCTGTACTGTAAATAACTGTAACCATTGATTATAATGCATACTTATTTATTGTTATACTTACTAATGCATTAATCGTATTACATATATATTACAAATAACAATGTGTTTAATGCTCCTGGAAGTTGAATAGGTAAGTAATAATTGTGGTTACTGTTATTTAAAGTACAATATGGATGTGAAAACCTTTAATAAATGAAGGCCTCTACAATATCATGCCGTTTGTTGAAACATGACGCATAGTGTAAAAAATGTTGCCATGCTTTTTATTTCAGCACTGTGTTCAGTCACTGTTTGTGTGCATCAAGAAGAAAACCCTGCATCTGATTGCAGGGAAAGAGTTTATGTAATCAGTGATGCATTAGAGGGCCTGTGTTTTAATCAGTTCATTCCATTTTTTAATTTGGCCATTCCAGCACTGACCTAATTAATCATTTCTACCCAAATCCTCAACCAGTAATATTAATTAAATCGGCTTTTTAAGTAAATTACTAAATGGCAGGAATGTTTTTCCTATTATCTGTGTATTAAGCCCATAGATGTTTTTTTAAGCAACCCAAAACTGAGGATTTACTTACTATTTACTCACCATCGAGTGTTTCCAAACCTTTATGGGTTTCTTTCTTCTGTTGAACACAAGGGAAGATATTTTAAAGCTTCTACAGTAGGACAAACAAATACTGTGGAAGTCAATGGTTACAGGTTTCCAACATTTTTAAAAATATCTTCTTTTGTGTTCAACAGAAGAAATTTTCAAAGGTTTGAAACAAGTAACACTAAAGTAAATGATAACAACATTTTAATGGATTTAATTTAACTATCCCTTTACACATGCATTTAAGTATTTATGTATGTGTAAATACTTAATAATATCTGCTGAATTATACTTCATGTGAATTGGATTTTAAACGACCATACCATTTTGACAAGTTTATATTTGATGATGTGTAATGTTTATAAATAACTCATTTCCCTCCCCCCTTATGGATAACTTTTTAATTTTCTCTCAATTTAAACACTTGATGATTACATGTAAAGGATGATCAGTTGGTTGCTTGTCTGTACATGTTCTGTAACTGGGAATAACACATGTTGCACAGTAAAAAAAAAAATACATAAGCAGCACCAAACCATCACACTTTTTGATTGAGTGGCTTTTATAATTTCATGCATCAGTTTCATATCCAAATGTCTGAACATATCAGACAAAACATCTTTAATTTTTAATATACTTACTTACTCCCAGGGCCATTTATATCGAAGTTGATATTGAGCTACACCACGCTGGTGTTTCTTAACATCACATTTTTACGAGGTGGGTCATTAGCCCAACGCTCAACCCCCAACCTGGAGGACCAGGACATACACATACACTGCAGACAATTTAGCTTACCCAATTCACTCATAGCACATGTCTTTGGACTTGTGGGGGAAACAAGAGCACCTGGAGGAAACCCCACAAACACGGGAAGAACATACAAACTCCAAAGGGAAATGCCAACTGACCTAGCCGGGGCTTAAACCAGCAACCTTCATGCTATGAGATGACAGCGCTACCCCCTGCGCCAACGTGTCACCTATGATCCTTATTATACAGTTTCTAAAACATTACAATTTAAATATTATTAAATTAAATTAATTATAGTATTAAGACCTGTCTAACATTACATTGCTTTACTTTTCATTAATGTTGCTATTGTTTCTAGCATGTTAAGCGAGCTAGCCTGTCTAGCATGTTATTGATCTCATCTTTTTTACTTTTACATTGTCATTTAGCAGATGCTTTTTTTCCAAAGCGACTTACAATTGAACTAATGCATTGCTTACCTGCCATTAGCACGGTTAGGACACTACTAAAAAATTAACATGTTGCTAAGATGTCCTTTACATGTTTACAATGTTGCTAGCATGAATTTGTTGCCTGCATAGCATGATAAAAAATATGCTAGCATTAGCTTGTTGTTATTGTTTAGACACATGGCCAACACTTTTAATTGTTGCCAGCATGATTTGAACATGTTATAGCAAGCGTGAACGTTTATTATTTATTTATTAATTAATTAATTAATTTATTTATTTATTTATTTATTTATTTATTTATTTATTTATTTATTCTGACACGGACATTACAGTGGACAACCAAATGTATTTGTTTAAGTGTTTTAGCAGACTTGCTAGTTCTCAACACCTGTCAACGAGAGGCTTGACCTAAAATGAAAATAACATAGATACATATACACTATTATAAACATTAAAACACATTATAAACATTATAATTCTTTACATAAAATTGCTATAAGACAAAAGCAAAGGCGATATGATCAACAAACTCTGCACTGCTGTTTTCTTTTAACCACATTGTACCATGTTTAACATGGTGTGTGCATGTCCTGCTACGAGTTGTCATTGGTGATGGCATGAGAGCCTAGAACTGAGTGAATGCAGTATAAAGAGAAGAGTTTTAGCCAAGATTGTGTGCTTATCTACAAAATATCTATAAGATGTCAATTTTTAGACATTAAATAGATGTATTTTAGATGCATTTGAGACTTTTAAATACATTTTCAGACATTTGACCTCGTCTGATTTTTTCCTGACCAAACGATTTTAAAACTATATGGTGCAGATGTATGTGTGCTATCTGGGAATGAATAGTCTAATGAGTAGAAGTTTCAGACATAAATTGTACATATTTTAGATGCATTTATGACGTTAAAAGACACGTTCAGACATTTAAACATATTGATTTTTTTTTTTTTTTTTTAGACCAAACAATTTTAAAACTACATGTTGCAGATGTACATGTGCTGTCTGGGAATGCATAGTCTAATTAGGTAAAAATTGAAACAATAAACAGTCATATTTAGATGCATTTAAGACTTTTAAAGACATTTTCAAACATTTGAAAACATCAGATTTTTTCCAGACCAATCAATTCTAAAACTACATGTTGCAGATGTGTGTGTGTTATCTGGGAATGAATAGTCTAATCATTGCAAATACAGAAAATTGTGTAGTGTAGCATCAGCTGCTATAATGTTGCATGACTTGGAACTGTGATATATGTGGAGTATGACAAATGGATCAATAATTGTAATTTGCCTGTTTGTCTGCGCATCAAATATCTGCTGCATATCTTGAATGCACATTATTAGAGAGTGATGCCTAGCATGCATGTCACCACTTTGCTATGGAATAGCTGGAATGCTGTTGATGGAGGAAATTAAACTGGCAAAGAGGTGCTGATTACCTCCAGCAGCCATGAAATGTCGCAAGCAACACTGGCTAATGAAGCAGTCATTCAGAAACCAGAATGCCCTTGCTTATTCTCTTCTTTTCATAAATGTCCCAAAAATGTCAAATGCCAAAGTTCTTATCAGTAAGATGCAACTTTGTTTTAAATTCATGAGGTATTTAATTTTTAAAAAGCTTGACGATTACTAATTTGTAGTCTAAAATCTATTTTGAAATAATTTACTTTGATATACACTACTGGTCAAAAGTTTGGGGTCAGTAGGATTTTTAAATGTTTTTAAATAAGCTTCTGCTCACCAAGGCTGCATTTATTTAATCAAAAATACAGTAAAAACATTTTTAATGTAGTTTATAATTTATTTTAGTAATTTTTTTTACCAGTGATTTTAAAGATGATTCTTCAGATTCATTACTCCAGTATTCAGAGTCACATGATCTTTCAGAAATTATTCAATATCAATATAAATTATTATTATTATTATTATTATTATTATTATTTTTATTAATGGTAATAGTAATAAAAGCAATAATAATAGAAGTAAAAATTTCATTTGAAACTACATACAATAAAAAAGCAATTATTTTTTTAATATAAATATCTATAAAAATACATTTAATAAATGCCGTCAAAAAAAAAAAAAAAAAAAAAACATGAAAAAAAAACTGACCCCAAACTTTTGACCAGTAGTGTAATTGTTCTTTTAGCTATT